ACATGAACCTAATCATTCTATCAGCGTAGATTTAATCCAATCACATGAATTGATGAACTACTCGGAAAAGATGTGAATGAAGTCTGGCCCAACAGAATAATTGGCAAACTTCGGGGCTATCAGTTTGTTACGCTTTCACTGTGGATGTCTGCACCGGTGGGCAAGGTTTCTAGACATAGTTGGCCCGGCTAGGAGTCGAGACCGCAGTGGATGCGGTTGTCGACAAATAACGGTGAAGAGTGCTAGGCTCCTCTCCACAAGTGCAAGTGTTAAAGGTGTTAACCAAGTGCGAGAAAGATCAAGAGAATACTTAACGTCTTGCCTTTGCCCAAACTACCACAATCCAAAGTGTAAAGCGTGTAACCTCGTATGCACTCAGCGTGAATATCTAAAATTCACTGGGTTTGCAGGTTTCCAGTCTGCTGAGACGACAGCCAAGTACAAAGATAGGTGAGTAGAGACTGAATCGAGTATGTATCACAAAATTTCTGAAGATAGACGATCAAAAGTCTTCTAGTTAGTACTCGACGCTAAGGGTAGAACGCCTGATTAATTAATAATTCCAAACTTCCTGGTGCACTGCCAAGACGAGGCGTCTTTCTTGTTTTATCGTTGAATTATTCCCACCGTGTTTTATCTCTGTTTTAAAGTTTCTGTCGCAAAATATATAGCTCAATATTCGTGTTGAAGATATTGTTAACTTCTTTCAGCAACTTTATTTACGATTTTCCTTTTTCATTGCTCTGAATTCCAAATGATTCCAAGCTTGTGCGATGATCCAGTGTTGACGAATCTGGTGGTACTTCCGGGATTTTTTTTTTCCGGGAAAATGGAATTTGGCCCCTTTTTTTTCCCTTCGAGTGTTATTCCCATTTTCTTTTCGATTTATGACGTATCCCAAGAGCCGAGTTACGTAACAATCTCGGTATACAGCTTCATGGAAGGGTGCACTTGGCCTACACGCATTATGGAAAGGGGGATCTCACTTGGTTACTGTGGGATTGTGTAAGAAGGGCCGATGGGGGGTGAGGGGTCAACCTCGAAATTATCGTAGCCCCCGGAGCGAGCCGTTTTTTTCGATTTATGCCCACCATAAATTCATGCGATTCTCTCCCAAGCGCGTTTTCCAATCTCTTCTTTACCCCGAATTTTCCTGTTCCCTCTTGTTTTTTTCATTCGTTTGACAATCCTACGTTTTTTACTGCTTTATGATCTATAGTGAATTTGTTGATCATAAAGACCGAGCAGTGGATAAATAATCCGAAACGTTATGATGTTATAGTTTAATTTAGTTTCCGAAGTTCACGGAATTAAATCGACGTATATTCCCAGCCCTTCCATGACAGCCAGTTTATCTAGGCCTTTTCTGTTCTTGATTTTGTAACTTGTAGATGAGGCGATCCCCCAAGAACACCATCTCGTGCGACGGCTAAATCTTGGAACCATCTTCATATTATTTTATCTCCTTATGAGACAGCCTGAAGCTAGAATACATCCAACAATATTGTACTTGCTATCTTTGTTCCTCCCCACTAGCTTCACAATATTCTTTTTTGGATTCGTGATTCTTTGGTCTTTTGTTATTCGCGGACATATCAATCTTATTATTATTATTATTATTATTATTATTATTATTATTCTTGTTCGAGTTGATGTCAATCAACTCTTTATTCTGCTTGAACTCTCCCCTTTCTGGTTAATTCAGATTATTCAATGTTATTATTGCATCCTTGCGCTTTGAAAATTCAATAAAAATTACGTAATCGGCCGGTAAAAAAGGAATTACACTTTTCGACTGAACTTGCCGTACGTTTTCCTGGAAGTTCCAGTGATAAAGGGCGTAACTGTTCCGTAATTTTGACTGAATACTGCTTTGACTGTCAGATTGCGGAACAGGTACGCAATTTTTATTGAATTTTTCTCTCTGTGAACCTGAGGGCGAACCTTAAATCGAGTGCGTCTTCTTCGTTGTCATGTTAATTTTCTCGATGCAAAGGGCCGAGGGTGAGTGAACTGAATAACAATTGACAAGTATCATCCATGAGTGTTGGCGATCACTTGTGAGGGACATCACTTATTCTGTTCTGTTCAGTCTTGTTCCAGTGTGTTCGTCCCCTTTGGTTTCACACAACCGCTCTTGTGACGACTCGACCGCGTCGAGAAGGCGGAAAGAGGTATACGGCTTGTTGGCCAATAGCCGTACGGCTTTTTAACTCTAACCCTTTTCCATGAAAAGCCGAAGGTACTCTCATGGCTGGGGGCT